AATTCTGATGGTAGGTCACTAATTTAGTTATCCAGTGCTTCTATAACAGGGATGCCACATAGAGATTTAACAAACAAATTTGTCTGCTTTTAGGTGGTAGTTGTTGCTGTGTGCCTTGGAGTCAGAACCAACCCATAACTGACCTTCCTGCGGGTTTTCAGAGGCAGTAAAATTGAATAGGAGGAGATTGCCTATCCTCCTGTGGAGAACCTGGTGGATTCGAACCACATGTTTTTGGAATTGCAATCCAGGGTCTTAGTACTAGGTCACCAAGTTCCTTTCTTATAGTTTATTGATGTTAAGTGCCACTGAGTGGCATACAACTCACAAGGTCCATATCTATGAACAACAGATCTGAACCCTGTCCTGTCTTGTGCCATCCTTACAATCTCTGCCTTTTTTGAGGTCATTGCTGCAGTCGCTGTGTCAGTCCACCTGGTTGAGGGTTCTTCTCTTTGACCAACCTTACATCTTGCCAAGTGCCTTCTTAAGAATGTAAAAGTTTAGAAATCCAAATTTAGAGTGCTTACTCCAAAAGAAGATGCTCTCTGTCTTGATCGTTTCTGGAGAGGGGATTTGTTCCTTCAGCATTTATAGACCTGGCATTCCTGGGAGAACTGCATGTGACCTGGTAGTGAAATCTCTTCCTCTCTCCTCACACATCCTCGAGACACTCCCATTACATTGGTAAGGTGGTGGGATTAAAGGATACTGCATTCCACCCTTACTTCTATAACTATTTGGCTTATCAAATCATGGAGATAATAACATTCGCATTATATCATTGCATACATGTGGTTTTGGGGGACACAATTCAATCCATAACAGTCACTATGGGTTGAAACATACTCAAAGGCAGTAGGATTTCTATATGTTTGTTGTTGTTGTTATGTGCCATCGAGTCCCTACTGACTCATAGTGACACTGTACGCAATACTCTGAACCCTGTCTGATCCTGAGCCAATCTCACTCCATCTCATCCAGGGTGTTCCTCTCCTGTGCTTTCCTTCTCCAAGGACGGGTCCATCTGGGCATCATGCCCAAAGTATGTGAGAGGGAGCATCAAAATTCTCGCCTCCAAGGAGCTGCTTCATTTCATCCTCGCCAACACATACCTGTTCGTTTCTTGGCAGCCCATGATATGTTCAGTACTCTTCTCCAACATCACAACTTAATGGCATCAATTCATCTTTTGCCATCTTTGATAATTGTCCAGCTCTCTGATGCATAGTAATTAACTGTGAAGATCTTGGCCTAGATCAGTTGCACTTTAGTTGCTAGACTGACATCATTGCTCTTCAGCACTTTGGAGAAATATCTGATAGCAGATTTTCCTAATGCAATTTGTCTTTTGATTTCCTGACTGCTGAGGCCAAGAATGTTGAATGTGGAACCTAGTAAACTGAAAATTGTTAACAATCTGAAATTCTTCTTCATCTATCATGGTGCTGCCAATTGGCCCAGTGGTGAGAATATTTGTTTTTTTGATTTTGAACTTCATATTGCAAACTACAGTCCTTAACCCTCTGGAGCAAATGATTTAGACTTCCCTCCATTTCAGCAAGCAGTGTGTTGTCTCATCTGCATAATACAGGTTGTTGATGAGTTTTCTTCCAATCCTGATGCTACATTTCTCCTCATAAAATCTAGCCTCTTGAATGATCTGTTCTCCATTTGAATTGAAAAGACGTGGAGACAGGACACATTCCTGACTCACTCCTTTCCTGATATTGAACCATGCAGTGTCCCCCTTGCTCCGTTCTCATCACTGCCTCCTGGCCCAAGTATAGCTTTTGCATGAGCACAATCAGGTGTTCTGGATCCCCATTCTTCTCAAGGTTAGCCACAGTGTGTTATGATCCACGCAGTCAAATGACTGCATAGTCAATAAAACACAGATATTCCTCTGGTACTCTCTGCTTTTGGCCAAGATCCATCTGACATTGGCAGTGATGTCTCTAGTGTCAGGACCTCTTCTAAACCAGCTTGTATTTAGGGTAGTTAGTCCTCTATGTACTATTCCAGTCATTTTTGTATGATCTTCAGCAGGATTTTGCTTGCATGTGATAGTAGTTATATCATTCAATAATTTCCACAATCTTTTCAATCACCTTTTTATGGGATGGAAACAAATATTAATCTTTTCCAGTCAGTTGGCCAGGTGATTGTCCTCCAGATTTCTTGACACAACCTGGTGAGCACGTCCAAGCCAGCATCTGTTTGTTGAAATATGTCATTTGATATGCCATCAATTCCTAGAGCCGTGTTTTCTGCCTATTCCTTCAGAGCAGGTTGAAGTTCCTCCTTCATCTCTATTGCCTCTTGAACATAAGTTGTTTCATTAGATTCTGTGACCACCAATTCTTTTTGATACGGTGGCTCTGTACTGCTTCCCTCTTCTTTTAGTACTTCTTAGATTTTCAATATTCTGCCCATAACATACTTAATATTGCAACTCAAGGCTTGGATTTGTTCTTTGGTTCATCCAGCTTAAAAAATGCTAAGGAAGTTTATTCCTTTTGGTTTTCTAACTTCAGCTCTTTGCACATTTCATTATAATACTTTGCTTTGTCTTCCTCAGCTGCCATTTGAAATCTGTTCACCTCTTTAACTTCCTGATTTCTTCCCTTCGCTTTGGCTTCCTGGTGCTCTAGTGCAATATTCAGAGTCTCTTCCATCATCCATCTCAGTGGTGTCTTCTTTCTTTGTCTTTGTAATGATTTTTTTTGCATTCTTCATGAATAATATTATTGATACCCTCCCACAATTAATCTGGCTTCCATACATTAGTGTTGAGGGCCTCAAACCTGTTCCTGACATGGATTTTTAATTCAAGTGGGATAGACTCAAGCAGTTTTTGTGGATTTGGTGTAATTTTCTTTAGCTTTAGTTTGAACTTGCATGTGAGTAGTTGATAGTCTGTTCCACAGTCAGCACCTGGCCTCGTTTTTAAAGCAGATCCAGAGCTTGTCCAGTGATTCTTTTCACACATGTATTCAGTCTGATTCCTGTGCAGACCATCAGGTGAAGTCTATTTGTATAGTTGCCAGTTATCTTTCTTATAAAAGATATTTTCAATGAATAAATAAATATCTATACAAAATTCTGTCATTTTATCTCCAGCTTCATTTCTGTCAACAAGTCTGTTTCCCCACTACTGATCCTTCTTCTCTGTTCCTAACTTTTGCATTCCAGTTATTCATAAACATATAAATGTGTAAATACACATCTATACCCTCAGCACACATACATATACACATACATACTTAAAATAGAACCACTTTGCAGGAGAAAGATGGTCAATGTCCTGTTGTGATTTACAGTCTAGGAAACTTGATGGAGCCTCACAATGAGTTGGAACCAACAGAATTACAGAGTTTGGATTTGAGTTTATATAGATGCATTATGGATCCATTAAATTGATTAAAAGCATTATGAATCTCTATGCCGTTCTTACATGAGTACTTTGTCAGTACTTACAACTTCTGGCTTTCTCTTATACACAAATAAGTTTTTGAAAGATGGCTATCTTTAAAAAGTCAAGTTGCTTCTGCCAATCATTCATTGCCTCAAAGTCTGACTCAATGGGACTTGCCATCGGGTTTCAGAAGCTGTAAATCTTTAAGGAAGGAATCTCCCATGGTTCTCCCTCAGAGCATCTGGAAGTTTCAAACTACTGGCCTTTTGGTTAGCTGGCTGACACATTGTTTTAAAGATACTATACCTTCAGGACTTCTTACAGATAGACTTAAGGTTAAGTGCATCTTGCTTGAACATCAGCTTTATAATCTATTTGCCTGTTGTTGTTGTTGTGGTTGATTGCTGTTGAATCAAGCACGACTCATAGCAGATGACTCATGAACAAAAGGCCTGAAGCCTTTCTATAACTATCGACATTTATCAAAGTTTCTGCAGTTTCTGGAGGCATGCTGTTTAGGAAGTGGATGCCACTCATATTTCCCTGCAGTGATTGATTATAGTTTTACAGGTATATTGTGTACTGTTGTTGGAACTGACTCATAGCTGGTCCTCCAGTGTGTTTTCAGAGGCAGTAAATCAAATGGGAATAGATGGCCTACCTTTCTCCCATCAAGCAGCTGTTGAATTTGAACCATGTACCTTTGCATTGGCAGCACAAATGTTAAACATCCTTTATATAATAGTATTTGGTTTTTAGTGTAGAGACATTGAGAGTAATGAAATGAGCAAACCCTTTTGTCTCAGGAATATTGAAATTAAAGCTATTTTTATTTAAGATGGCCCAATCCCAGTCAGAAATTAAATTTTGGTCTTAAGACTGAATATTACTATATTATTTACTTCATAGTCAGAACCACTGAAAATCCTTCAGCCCAGTCAGTCACTACCTGCTATGGGAATCACATGTACAGTAATTATACATGAGGTTGTTTTAGAAAGGAGGATTTAAAAATTTGGTTATTAGAAAAGGTTTATTGTAAAAAGGCAAATTTGATAAACATCTAAGACATCTGCCTTCTATACTTTTATCAAATGTCATGTTTTAAAAAAATACATTTTATTAAGAGTGGCTTTTGTTGTTGTTGTGTACTACAGAGTCAGAACTGACTCATAGCTGACCCTCTGGTGGGTTTTCAGAGGCAATTAATTTCATGCATGGAGATTGCCCATTCTTGTCCTGCAGAGCAGCTGGTGGCCTCAAACCACATGACTTCAGGATTGCAGCACTAGCTCCTTGCCACTAGGCCACCAGAACTCTATTAGGAGTGGCTAGTCATTATAAAAATATGTCCAGTAATAATAATAATTAATAATAACAATAGAAATGTTCACATAATCTACAAATTTGTGATATACTCAGCTTTCAGATAAGATTTAACATGTAAACTTGGTTGTGCCTTAACTGACTGTCATTGGTGATGGTTTAGCCATTTGGTCATCTCTTAATCAAGTCTAATCTATTTTGTGAATTATATAATATTTTTAAAAGTAATAAAACCATTCTAAAATGTCTATTTCAGAGCCCAACAATTTGACGCTTAAAATTTACAGAGCTGAATCATATGCTGGTCTCCAAGAGTTTAAAGCAGCCATAGAAGACTTAAATGCAGTTCTCTGTCACCTCCCAGATTGGCCTGAGGTAAAATTGCTCTTTTCCACCTGAATAAACTTTTAACATTTCAACTGTAGGAAACATGCGTTCACTTGTGGATGTAAGTTTTAGCAAACTGCATTGGCTAACTCTTTAAATATATGTTTTTAAGTGCCTTCAAGTCAGTTCAGACTTACTGTGACCTGGTGTACAAAAAAGAAAACCTTAGCCAGCCATGTCACACCTTCACAAGCTCTTCTCTGCTTAAAACCACTGTTAGAATCACTGTCAGTCTGTCTTGTTGAGGGTCTTCCTTTCTTTGATGATGCTCTACATTTTGAAGCATGAGGCCCTTTCTAAGTATCATCAGCTGTTGATAACATATCCAAATTATGTGAAATAAAGTATCTATCTTATTCTAAGACAGATTTTCCTTTGGCAGTCTGTGATATAGTCACAGCTCTTTGCCAGCACTGCAATCACTGAAAATTTCTTTTTTTAAAAAATGTATGGGGTTCTAAAAAATTCGGAGTCAGCATTTTGCATGAATATATTTCAGCAATTTAAAAAAAATCATAGCTTGTCTTTTGTTTAATAAGTAAAGAACAAACTTAATTAAAAGAACAGAAAAGAAGCAGGGACTTTAGACATAATTTTTTCTATTGCTATTAAAGAAATACAGCTTGCCATATTGTGAAGCTGAATCTAAATTGGGCTTCCTTGAAGGAGTTTCATTAGTAGAAGAGGCCCTGGAGGCTGGAAAATTGAGGCATTGTCATGGAGTCAAGTGATTAGGCAATGATTTAATACAGTGCATGGGTCCAAGAAGGCTGCCTCGCCCATATGGTTTTAAAGAAGACTTGAGACATTTAAGCATATTAATTAACAACCAGCTTGTTCTCCTGTTTATTAGATTGCCAGTATAAAGCTGTCCATTTTCCATATAACCTTTTCAAGATGAAAGTACTTTTTGAATTTTTCCCCTCTCCTCCTTTCAAACTCCTTTAAAGGAACAACATAGATTCTCTAAACACTGTATGTTAATCAAGAGAGTCCATGGTGGAATGACTCATTAGTGGCAAGCAAATATGTTTTAAGAATAAGAGAGCAAGAAGTCTGTATGAACAGCTTTAATCCTTGGAAGGAAAAAGAAGAAAGCTTTGCTCTGCAATGATGTAATGTGGGGGGTTTTCCTGCCATTTGAAAGACAGCTTAAAAAAATAAAAGCCAATTCAGAAAACTTGAGTTATGTTTGATTAGAACATTCTTAATTTCCTCTGATACTATTTAACACTGATACTTAACAAAACTTGTTTCAGTAAGCAAGACATATTGAAAGCTTACCAGTTGACTCTTTGTTTCAATATAACTGACTCATAAATTGAATTTCGGGTTTACCAAGGATAATGAGTAGGGTGTCAGTTTTTATTAGAGCTGAACTCATGTTTTGAAAGAGAAGAATAAAATGCTACATGAATACAAAGACAGAAAGTATAATATCTGCAAGTATTTCAATACTTCTGCCTAGTAATTGGGAAGACATTTACCTTACTTCCTTGATTGGAGGATATATGGTTTTCACATCTTAATGATTCTTTTTTTTTTATCTTAATGATTCTTAAGTCTTGATGTATCTTAAAGTGACCATACACGCTATTTATTATTTCCTTTCTTCCCAAACAGCTGTGAATAAATCAGTAATATTTCAGTAAGTGTTATCTTAAAAATAAGGAAACACAGTAGCTCTGAGAACTTGATGGAGCTGTCCTCCAGGCTTTTAAAAGCTCTGGACTTCCAAATCATTCAGAATTTGCAAGAATCCTTTCATTAAAGCTTTTGTTTATATGCTTTTGTTACAGGTTTATTTCAGGAAAGGAAAAGTACTCCATGATGCTGGTTTTTTAGGTGATGCCTTACAACTATTTCTTCAGTGCTTAGCCCTTGATGAAGACTTTGCACCTGCAAAGCTAGAAGTAGAAAAGGTAATCCATTTAAAGATTATGCTCATTCAAGGCAAGGATAAGACACATGCTTTTTTTCCCCACAAATGTTGATTAAAATATGGGCTTAGGAGCATGTTGTTGTTAGGTGCTGTCCAGTTGACTACAGCTCGAGAATGACCCTCTGCTCCATCATCATCACGATCTTAACCTTGCTTGAGTTCACTGTTGTAGTCACTCTATCAGTGTCATTGAGGGTCTTCCTCTTTTTCACTTACCTTCTACCTTCCCCTGCATGATGTCTTTTTCTAAGATCTGGTCCTTCCTGTCAGCATGCCCAAAGGATGTGAGACAAAGCTTCAGTGACATTCTTCTCTCAAAGGAGCATTCTGGTTGAATTTCCTCCAGGACAAATGTCTTTGGTCTTTAGGCTGTCCGTGGTATTATTCAATACTTTTCACCATTATCACAATTCAAAGGCATCCATTCTACTTTCAGATGCATACAAAACAATTGAAGATAATTGTGGCTTGAATCAGGCACATCTTTATTTTTAAACTAACATCATTGCTTTTTTAATATTTTAAAGAGGTGCTTGACAGCAAATTTTCCCAATGCTTTTTCTTGACTGCTTTTATCATGGCTATTGATTGTAGGTCCATGTAATATGAAATTGTTGACAATTCCAGTCTTTTCTCCATTTATCATGATGTTACCTGTTACTCCAGTAGTGAGGATTTTTGTTTTCTTGATGTTGAGATATAATCCATATTGAATGTAGTCTTTGATCTTCTTCAGTAAGTACTTAAGTCTTCTTCATTTTCTACAAGCAAAGTTGTGTAAAGCAAGTTGTTAATGAGTCTTCTTTCAATCCCCATGCCATATTCTACTTTATTTGGTCCACCTTCTTCAAGTATTGGCTTCATGTACTGCTAAATAGGTGTAGAGAAAAGACCCAAATCTAACATACACTTTTCTTGATTTTAAACCATGATATTTGCTTGTTCTTTTCAAGCAGTATTATTAATATGGGTATGGAAGATAGGAAGGGCTTTAAAAATCTAGTAGCAATTTGACATGGGTTTCTATTTCATATGCATACTGTAATAACTTATTCTGAGAGGAAATATATTTCATTCACAGATAACTAACAGCAGTTTTGTTAATAAATTTCAGAAGTTCTGTGATAGTTTCTTCAATCTGAGCCAGACCGAAACATTGCTGTGAAGACAATCAGTAAAAATCTTTACTGTCTGTCTTTTGCTTTTCACTTTAGGTGGGAATATTATTTCCCAATCAAATTACTTAAAGGGTTTTTTTCTCTTCTCAATGATCTACAGATTACTTCCCAGAGTTTGTTCTGTGGTATGGTAGTCTGTTTCAAAGAATGGTAGAGAGAGGTTCTCTGGTCTTAAGACTTTGGAAAACACTGAGTTAAACTTTGTTAAAAAAGTTTCCTCAGAAGTGTTTGATGTGTTAGCATGATAATAAAATGCAGCTTTTCTCAAACTTAATCAGAGCACATCTGAAAGCACAGTGCCTTTGAAAATACTTTTTGAGCAAACCTACCCTAATACAAACTCAGTTCCTTAGTCTTTTTTGCAGTCCTGTTACCTCAGAAAATGCCATAGTATTTACCATTTTTGTCCTATTGATAGTGTTTACAGAGCTCATTAACCCCTGGATCAGAATCATTTGAAGTGTATGTTAGACACATCACAGTGTATGGGAATCAGACTGTTGAGCCCAGAACACAGTTTACTAAATACTCTAGATGATTCTTATGTGCCCTGAAGTATGAGAGCTTTGGAATTTTGTCTCAACTTCTTTAATAATTCAGCAAACATTGATATATCCTCCATGAAATGTTTACATTCTTACCCAATGATTTAAAATAAATTCTTTATCATTGTGCATTTTGTCTCTCATTCTATGTTTGCTGGTGTCATTTTCCTGATACATAGTTATAAAAGCTTATACTTTTGCATTTTCCATCTTCCTCAGGTTCTTCGTATTTCTGTCAGTAGTTGTTGGGTATTTTGTTGCTCCCATATTAAATTTGTATACAATAAAGGGTATAGATTTAATAGTTCATTTGTGTTTTGGGGAATGTATACACCCAGGACACAGCAGCCTAATCAAGACATAGAACATTTGTACCATCCTAGAACATTCCTCATACTTCTCTCCTATAAACCTTCCAACCCAGCTAACTGCCAGAGGAAAATGTTCTGTTATCTGTCACCATAGAAGAGCACACACATGGTATGGAAGCTAAGTACTCCACTTCTGAGCAAAAGATTAGTGATTCAAAACCATCATCCATTCCAAGGGAGAAAGATGTGGTAGTCTGCTTCTTTGAAGACTTGGAGCCTTTGAAACCATAAGTGACAGTTCCATTCTGTCTTATTGGGGACATTGTGAGTTGGAATCAAATTGATAGCAGTGATGATCATGATACAGTAGGGTGTTGTTTTTTCTTAATTTTAATTACTTCCATTAATGATGTCATAGAGTACAATGTACTCCTTTATGTTCATTTTTTGTTTCTCAGGTTTTTTGTTGGCTTTATTTTTGGATTTTTTAATTTCCTTTTTTTTGTATAGTGTAACATTTTTAAGTATAAATTTTTAATTTTTTTCCTTTTTTTGTTATTGGCTCAATTATATTCCATTCTGTGATTATCTCATAATTTGTGGCAGTCACAATTTGTGAATTATGACCAAATAATTTCCATTTGGATTGTACTCAATGTTTTATGATTATGAATTTTCTAGAATTACTCTTGTATAAGTCATTTTGTCTACATATGTATTCATTTTATCAAATGTCTATAAGTGAAGTTGAGTTGTTGGGTTATAGAGTAGATGTCTGTTAATATTTCTTTTTTCAACCAAGCAAATGTGAAAACATAAATAGATTTTAAATCTTTGTAAAATAAGGTGTTGCTTTTAATACCTAACAGGAACACCTACTTTTATTCACATTGAGTTTATTTCTTTTGCAATGAATCATGAATTATTCCAGGTTTTATGTATAGGAATGATGGATCAAGTGGAAAAAAGGAATTGCTCTATTTAGATTTTTAAAAATCTGCTTATTTGACAATCCACCCCCACTCTGAGCACATAAAAAGTTTTTAAAAATCCTTCAGTATTTTGTAAATTCATATTGCTCTCCTGAATCCAGTCTTTTTTATCACTTTTATAATAATATTTCTCTTACAGATTTTGTGTGATTTATTATCTCCTGAAAATTTAAAAGAAGGCTTGAAGGAATCTTCCTGGAGTTCATTACCGTCTACTAAAAATAAAGCTTTCAGTTTTCCTTTAGTAATAGAAGAGTCTCACTCACCTAACGAGCTTAGCTCAGAGCAGGTAAGGAGTAAAGAGAGGGTATCATGGGGCTCACATGTAATTCCTTTATAAATTAGATCTTCACTTTCCTGATGTCAAGTACAGATAAGCCATAAGACTTAAAATTTGAGTCATTATAAACTACTTTTTAAATTGCTTGTTACTTTTTTTTTAGGGGTTCATCTTATTGTTAACATTTCATCCATCTAACATACTTTAGACGTGTTGCAAGGAGGGACAGGTCCTTGGAAAGGGACATCATGCTTGGTAGGGTGGAGGAACAACGCAGAAGGGGAAGGCCCCCTATGAGGTGGATTGAGTCAGTGCCTGGGATAATCAGGATGGGTGTGTCAGAGGCAGTGCGATTGGCACAGGACAGAGCAGAGTTTAGGGATGTTGTACATAGGGTCGTGATGAGTTGCAAACGACTCGACGGCACAGAACAACAGCAACATACGTTTTTGCAGTGTGTGATTTGTTAGCTGAATCATCTGTATATGTTCCAGTGGTATGACTGGTAAGGACACTAATAATAAAAGGCCATAATAATGACGCCTTTTTAAAAATATCAGATATTTAACTTATGCCAGACCTGCTTAAAACAGAGTCATCATAATGGGACCTTGTAAGTTGGAGACTACCCGTACTAGAACTTAAGCTTAACCTGTCAGTCATTTGCTGTGGAGTCATTTCTTACTCCTGGTGCTTGGACATGCACAGGACCAATGACTATCACCTTTCTCTGACCTGTTTTGGTATTTCTAACAATATTTCAAGCATTTTCATAGTGCCATCTCTCTCATACTAGGTTGCCATCAGAATGTAGATTTCTCACAAGTATATCACCTGGTCATTATTCCTAAAAGAGAAAAAAAATCCAACTTCAAATGTATTACCATCGAGTTGGAACCAACTCGTAGCTGACACTCGGTCAGGTTTTCAGATATGGCAAATCACAACGGAAGGAGATCCATCTCTCTTCTTTAGAGCCACTGGACATTTAAACCACCTGAGAGAGACACCTTTCGGTTAGCAGCTCAACTCCCTGCAGACTTCACCCCAAAGCTCCCTGCCATTCTTCCTAGGTGCCTCTAAACAGGCTTCCTCTTTCAACCTTTCTGTTAACACTGACTGCATTAATCTTCTGCACCACTCAATACCTCTGTAAACCTAGTTAGCATTGTTGTTGTTGTTGTGTGCTGTTGAGCTGGAACAAACCCAATAGCTGACACTCTGGCAGGTTTTCAGAGGCACGGGAGGAGATTGTCCATCCCTCCTCCACAGAACATCTGGTAACTAAGAACTGTACCCTTCGGGGTTGCAGCACAGCTTTTTGCCACTAGGCTGCCAGTGCTCTCCAAATAGTTTAAGTATTTGAGTTGCCTGCGACTCGATGGCGCTTAGCAACAACAACAAAAGTGGCAGAGTACTGCAGGGTGTTGTGGTGCCAACCAAAATGTTTGTGACTTGAATCTATCAGCCACTCCTCACATGAAAGTTGGGCAGTCTTCTCCTCAGAAACCTGATGAAGACTCAATATAGAGTTGATTTAATAGCAGTGATTTGGGCAATAGGGTTGTTTTTATCTTTTTTCTTTCTGAACCCTTTTAATTAACAGAACCACCTTTTGTTTATTTCTTGTTAATTACCAGAATGCCAGAACACTTAAAGTCACTAATAATTTATAGAACATTGTTTCTTTTTTTTTGTTCTCAGTATTATTGATTTATATGTCCTTGAGTTGCCTGTGACTCATAGCAACCTTATGTACAGGGTATCTCTGAACCCTGTCCTATCCTGAGCCAGTCTCACTGTGTCTGAAACAGCTAACCCTGTTACCCCATTCACTGTGTCAACCCATCTCATCCAAGGTCTTCCTCTCTTACACTGTCACTTATTCCTTCTGAGCACGATGTCCTTCTCCAAGGACTAGTTCCTGGCCATATCCCTAAAAAGTATGTGAGACGGAGTTTCAAATTCCTTGCCTCCAAGCATCAACTTGAATTCTGAAGGTGGGAGCAACTATATTAACATGATTGCTTAACACTCATAACACAGATCACTTTAATAATTAGTGCTGTAGTTGATCACTCAACTCATTGCTATAGAGTTGAAACTGACCTGTAGCTGACCCTCCAATGGGTTTCTAAGATTAAACTGCTGGGGAGAAGTTTGCCCATCTTTCTTCCAAGGAACAGCTGGTGGATTTGAGTGCTTGAGAAGAGTGGCCTTTGGGTTAACAGCACAGTACCCTGCAGCAAAACACAGGGCACTTGGTGCTATGTGGTTATTTTTAGGTGCCATCAAGTTGAGTACAACTCATAGCAACCCTATGAAGAATAATATTGTGTTGTTCTTGATTGCCATCAAGTTGGAACTGAACCACAACTGACCGTCCAGTGATTGTTCATCCTTCTGTGGAGCAGCTGGTGGATTTGAACCCATAAACAGTACTAGCAGAAGAATTTATTTGCTAGAGTTTGGGAATTAAAATTTAAAGCTGTTAAAAAAGAACATGATAAAACATTCAAATTTCTAGTTTGGCTCCTGGTGAAAGCAATATTCTGTTATTTAAAGGATAGGGTCGCTATGAGTCAGAATTGACTCAGCAGCACAAAACAGAATATACTTCAAACCTTGAAAGCTTGTTTTTCAGACCATGGCAGTAAAGCAGCTATCACAGGAAAGTGAGTCACACTGGATTTGTATAAAAGGAGCTCTGGTGTCGTAGTCCATAGGGAGTTGTGCTGTTAACATAGAGACCGCCTCGCTAATAGTTCTGATCTACCAGGAGCTTCTTAGAAGAAAGATGAACAATCTCCTCCTGTGTGATTTTCAGCTGTTGTTGTTATGTGTCATCAAGTTGACTGCGATATATAGTGACTCTATGCACAATAGCTCTACACTCTGCTATACCTAAGCTAGTCTGATTATCTCTGACACACCTACCCCCATGACCCCAGTTACTGTGTCAGGTCATCTCATCCAGGGTCTTCCTCTCCTGCACTGTCCCTCCACCCTTCAAGCATGATGCTTTCCTCCAGTGACTGGTCCTTTTTGGCAACATGCCCAAAGTATGTGAGATGGAACTTCAAAATACTTGCCTACACGAAGCAGTTTGGTTTTACCCTTTGTAATACATATCTATTAGTTTTCTTGGCAGGCCATGGCATGTTCAGTTCTCTTCTCCAGCACCACAACTCAAAGGCATCAATTCTGTCATCATTGATCATTGTCCAGCTCTCTGATGCATAGCAAGTAATTGCAAAGACCATGGCCTGGATCAGACACATCTTAGTGTCTAGATTGAAATCATTGCTCTTCAGCACTCTGGAGAGGGCCCTGACAGCAAATTTTCCTAATGCAATTTGTCTTTTGATTTCTCGACTGTTGGTGCCAAGGGTATTGATTATGGAACTAAAAAAGCTGAAATTTTTAACAATCTCAATCTCTTCTGTATCTGTAATGATGTTGCCAGTTGACCCAGTGGTAAGAATCTTTGCTTTCTTGATGTTGAGCTTCAATCCATGTTGCAGACTACAGTTCTTGACCCCCTGCACCAAATGCTTTAGACCCTCCTCAGTTTCAGTAAGCAAAGTTGTGTCATTGCATAACATAGGTTGTTGATGAGTCATCCTCCAGTCCTGATGGCACATTCCTCCTCATAAAGTCCAGCCTCTTGAGTGATCTATTTCCCATACTGATTGAAAAGGTATGGAGATAAGAACATCCCTGACATGCTCCTTTCTGGATTTTTAAACATGCCATGTTTTTTTGTTCTGTTCTGATGACTGTCTCCTGGTCCAAGTATAGGTTTTGCATGAGCACAATCATGTGTTCTAGGATTCCGATTCTTCTCAAGGTTAGCCACAATTTGTTGTGATCCACACAATCAAATGCCTTTGCATAGTCTATATTCATAGTGTTGATTGTGTTGAGTGTTGATATCTGAATATCCATAGTATTCGTAATATTTAAACTCTGAATATTGTACTAGAGCACTAAGAAGGCAAAGCAAAGGGAAGAAATCGAGAAATTAAGAAACTAAACTGCTTTCAAAGGGCAGCTCAGGAAGGTAAGGCAAAGTGTTACAATGAAGTGTGCAAAGAGCTGGAGTAGAAAAATCAAAAAGGACATTTCTTAAGTCGAAGGAACTGAAGAAAAAATTCAAACCTCCTTGAATTGCAGTACTTAAGGGTGGTATGGGCAGAATATTGAATGATTGGAAGCATCACAAGAAAATGGAAAGAGTATATAGACACTGTACCAAAAAGAATTGGCCGACCCAGAATAATTTCATAAAACAACATATGTTCAAAAAGGCTTTGGTGATGAAGAAGGAGGTGTTTTACATTAGCCTCTGAAAACTCACTGGAGGGTCAGCCACGAGTTGATTCTGACTTCTAGCAATGAGAGAGTGTGAAAAAGATTGCATTATGAAAAAGTCCAAAATATTGGAGCATTACCAAAAGTGACAAACGTGCTCTTTGAAAATGGTATAGGTAGAGTCACTGAGACTGATTGCCATGACTTTAATTTGTAAAAATTGCAGAATTACAAAATGCTATGAAATGAGGTATGTATCTCTAGTTCCCTTTTGTCTATTATGTGTGTTTTCATTGTATATTTGTAGATTGAAGCAATTCCAGAAATCACTTCAGAACCTGTCAAAGGAAGCTTAAATCGCACTCAGTCAGCACAGGCCATAAATTCAACAGAAACTCCTGCCAGAGAAGATTGCTTAAAGAGAGTTTCCTCAGAACCTTTACTCTCAGTTCAAGAAAAAGGTGCTTTGCTGAAAAGAAAGTTGTCTCTTTTGGAACAAGATGTGATTGTAAATGAAGATGGAAGAAGTAAGCTTAAAAAACAAGGAGGTAAAAGTTTCTTTTTGTTTTTATGAAGAATAAGTTGATTTTTTTTTCAGGATGACCTTTAATTTTTTTCTTTTCTAACAAGAAATTATTGTTTCTTTTGGTAGAAACTCCCAGTGAAGTCTGTACATTATCATTAGTTTGTGGTGATATCCCAGAAGAATTAATAGATGTCTCAGATTTTGAATGTTCTCTCTGCATGAGGTAAGTATATAAAATTTTATGAAAGATGAATATTACATGTTTTACGGGAAGCTCTGGTAGCCTAGTGGTAAGAAACTATGCTGCAATCCCAAAGGCAAATGGCTGTAATCTACCAGCCTGCTCTGCAGAAGGATGGACAATTTCTTCCTGTGTGAGATACTATCTGAAAACTGACAGGAGGGTCAGCTATGGGTCAGTTCACAACAAATGAAATACAGTAATACTTAAAGGCTGTAATAGAGAATTTATTACCATAAATTATAGACAGTAATAGCCATGTAATAGGATACAGGACTATGCCCATTCATTCTATGTGCTAGGCTAGGAGCTAGGCTATATAAAGAAGATTGTGGCATCATGACTGGAGAAAGATTTATCAATGACTTATGATATACAGATGAAACAACCTTGTTGCTCAAAGTGAAGAGGACTCAAAACATTCATGATCAAAGACTAGCATTGAGAATGGATTATACTTCAGTATAAAGAAAAGAAATATTCTCAAAGTTGAACCAATATGCAACATCATGATAGATGGAAAAAGATTGAAGATGTCATTTATTTAATTTTGCTTGGATCTACAGTAAACACCCATGAGATCAGCAGTCAATCAATCAAAATGCATTATATTTGGACAGTATACTGTCCGGACTTATTTAAAGTGCTAAGGAGTAAAGATATCACACTAAAGATTAAGATGTTCACAAAGCAAGTACTGATATTTCCATTTGTTTCATAAGCATGTGAAAGTTGGATTAAGTACAAGAACGTTTGCAAAGAATTGGTGCCTTTGAATTGTGGTGATGATAAAGCTGTTTAATAAATCATGTACTGTCAAATAAAGGAAAAAAAAGGAATTTTAAGTTCCTTTCACACTTCGGGCAAATTGTTCTGTCTCTGAACCAGGTTTTCCTTATCTAGAAAGTGGAATCAGCATTTGAATAGTATGAGAATCAAGAGGCTTAAGTATGTGAAGAATATGGGGAATGGTGAAGTACTATAAATGCTATGTTGTTGTTAAGTGCCATCCAGTTGTAGAAGGCTCATAGTGACCCTATGAAAGAAAAACATAAACACTTGTTTAACTTTCATCTTTTGTCCAAGTTCATAGGGTTTCTGGAGGCACGCTGTTCATGGAAGTGGATGCCACTCCTGCTTCCAAGCTTGTTTTAATCAGGGAGCTCCACCAAACACTGTCCACAATGGGTAACCATTATCGCATTTGACACATCAGTGTCACAGGGTTTATTGTCACAGCAACCACGAGTTACCTCTGTATGGCAAGTGGACAGACCAGTGCTATACCACTTAGAAGAATGTTTGACCAAAAGCAATTAAAGTCAAGCCTGAGGGCCACAGATTAAAATCACCCACCTTTAAACATAGCTAGATGTAAGAAAATTATGTATTGTATGCATATAAGTCTATCTTGCTTATACTCTTTAACCATAAAATAGTTTTTAAGTAATATTTGGTAAGGATTTTTGTTATGCAGGCTATATGTAATGTTAAGAGACTGACGTTTTAAAAAGAAGATGCTCAGTTACATGGCTTGTCAGGGGAAGAGTCAAGAGAACTGGTGCTGATCACTCATGTGGTGGTGCTGAGCTGTTGTTCTGAGGAGGTCCCTCAGCTCAGAGCTTCAGAGCTCAGGAACCTGGGCAATTCACAACATACTGTAAGCTTCTAACAGGATTTCTAGGACTGATAAGTCTTAGGAGAGAATTATCATCTAAGTCAAACTCATTTTTCATGCAATTTGAGTTTAAAAATCCAGGAGGTAGAAGTTTATTTCTGTTTTTTACATAAAATACTATATTTTTTTTCCCCTAGAAAAACCTAATTGGGCGGGGGGGACCCAACAAAACAAATTAGAAATCTGTGAGAACCATAACTCCACGAGACTGTCTTGTATTTCCGGGTCTCGGTGTTTGTGCCTTTGACAGTGTGCACTCAATTTTAGCACATAATGCTTTTATCATTCCTTTTAATGGAAAATACTTGAGTTTTCCTTCCCTGACAGCGTTTTTGCCTTATACATTCTGGCTTTTGCAAGTTTGATAGTAATAGTACTAGTACTTTTCATTGTTGTCAGGTTGCAACAATTTAACTGCTGACCCTCCCTCCCTTGAGATTCTGAGCCTGTACATTGCCACCAGAGCTAGCTCCCTATAGGATATTTAGGATTACTGTGATATTTATTAAATTAGTCTTATTTCTGAATTTTATATAGTAAGGCCATTAATGATGATTTACATTATTTCCTGCTAAATCTTTTAATTCTAGTATGCATTTTACACATACTGCAAATCTCTCAGTTTCATTAGCTAGATTTCAAGTGCTAATTAGCCTCATGTCACTAGTGACTGTCATCGTTGTTAGCACAGCTTCTAAGCCCGTGGCATGTTGCTGGAGAACTTTTAAGAGGTAGAAGTAGTATGGTTGCATTTATCACTGTTCATTCCCTTTTGTCTTGCCTGTCAGCTTTTCTCCTTCATCACCTAAATATTATGTTATGTTAAGATTCTGTTATTAATTTGTTCACATCTTTTCAGTGGAAAGTTTGATAATAAAATCTAACGTGTATTTTGGTTGATTCCAGGTTGTTTTATGAGCCAGTAACAACTCCTTGTGGACATTCATTCTGTAAGAATTGTCTTGAGCGTTGTTTAGACCATACACCATATTGTCCGCTTTGCAAAGAAAGCTTAAAAGAGGTAAATATTTGTACATGCATCTGTTTATTGGTCTTAAATTTGGCAGCACAGTTTTCTTTTTATTTAGTAAGGAATTGCACTATATATTCCAAGTCATGGAAATAATACTTTATTACCTACATGCAGAAAACGGAAATAAATGTTAGGGGGAGAAGAGTTTAGAGACTAAGTTCTTGTGCTTAATTTAATTAAAGGTGGAGTATGGTCAGGTCCCTAGTATGTTCCATTGTAATTATAACAGTACTGGGGATGCTTAAATGTTGTGCTGTCTCACTTAGTAGGAGACCTGATTTGAGGTGTGTTTCATTCTTTAACTTCTAGAAAATGGTGCTATTCAATAGAACTTTCTGCTTTAATATCAGTTATCTGTATCTTTTCTGTCCTGCATGGTAGTCACTAGTCATAGTGTCTATTAAACAGTTGGAATGTGTCTAGTGTAACTGGAGAGAACTGCATTTTTAGTTTTCATTAAACTTAAGTAGCCATATATGAGTAGGGGATGTCACACTGGCAGTACTGCTCTTGTTAGTTGCTATCAAGTCAAGTACAACTCATAATGACCCTATGAACAGCTACCCTGAAACCTGCCTAACCTGTACCATCCCCATCTGATCTCTGAGATGCTAGAGCCCCTTGCTAAAGTCAGAGTTTCAATCCATCTTATTGGGGTCTTCCTCTCCTTAGCTGACCTTCCATTTTTCTAAGCATGAGGTCTCTTTCCAAGGAATAGCCTCACCTACCTACGTGTCCAAAGTATGAATAGCTCTAGAAAATGGTAAATTAGAAAGGCAAGAGATACAATTTCTCATAACCTTCTAATATAATTGCTGATTAATGTTAATGATCTATAAAGGAAAAATATATAGATCTGGGGTGGGTGTCTTCTGTATCTGATGGAGGACAATACCTAGTCTGTCCTGCTTGAGTGACTGGAGGTCAGCTAATATGAGGAGAAAGCCTTTGTAGCTAGGGAAAGGGATGGCTGGGTTATAAAAAGTGTCTTCCAAATATGAGCATGAAACTTTTTTTTTTCATATTCTAGGAGCAGCTTCCTATCTAGAAAAGAATTCTTTTCTGAAATAATGTGTACTTTTACATTTGACATCTTGCAGCATGTAAAACATAAAACCATTTATAGAATGTTCACAAAGTCAGGAAATACAAGATAAGCTTTTTTCTTAGAAGAGTTTTTCAGTTATATTTTCAACTAATATGCTGAGCATTTTTAGATTATGTATTCTAAATAAAGTTTTCCCCCTGTGTACCCAGACATTTTGTGTTCTTTTAATAAATTTATTATGCTTTCCCGCCTCCAGAATAACAATTAGATTCATTGCTTTAAAAAAATGTTTGAAATTGAAAGAAAATTTTATTAGGGATGTTGTCTGAAAATGTAACTTGCATAGTATTTAAAAAATAAGCGTACCTTATATGCTAACTTTGAAAGCACACCATATATAGTGAAGTCCCTCTGGGAGAGTCAGAACTTGAGGGAATTCCTTGTTACTCTGGCCTCACAGAGTTTTTATTATTTATCCCTTTGCTGTTGATAATTTCAGTGGGAAAGTATTTTCCTATCTTGCAAGTTTCTGCCTCACACAGGTTCTGGCTTTCCCAGGTTTTGCTATAACATAATTTGTAATGCATAAATACAGAATTTAAAAGTAAAACAGTTGTGCTCTATGTGGTGGTTTGTACTTTTAATGCATATCACTTCATTTTTCTCATTTAAATATATCTTGAAAACATGATTGTAGTCAATTGATAAAACATTGTTCCTGTTTTCAAATGTGGATTGCTTTGTACCACTGTAAATTCATGATTGAGCTATCTTAGACCATTTCCTTAGGATGACTTTCTGGGAAGTGCTTCATTTCCGAGGAATGTATTTTAAGGAAATGGCCTAAGATCAAAGGCTATGTATTTACAAGGCTATTAAAACCAAATGGCCATATTGTCTACTGGCATTTGAGATACTGGTAGTCTAGTTTCCAGCATCAAAGCAAGACTGGGACCATCACAGTACAACAGACTTACAGATAAGTGGTAGAAATTGCCTACATCCTGCCCCAGATGCTCAAATTTAGATTCCTGTCAGCCATGTGTTCAAATCTGTTGTTCATAGGGTTGCTTAGAGTCATACTTGACTGATGGCACCTAACAACAACAGCAACATCAGCAATGCAGAGAGACTCTTTCTAAAAGGATATAAAAATGTTTTTAGTAAAAGAAAATGGTAATGAGACTGCTTTTTAATATTTGTAATTTGATTAATTTTACAAAAAAATCTCAGAGTTACCTGTGTATAGGTTATCTGCTCAAAACTATTCTTCTTCAGCTAATAGCTCAGTGTATTTCTCTGACTTATCACAATCTATACCACCTAGAAATTTTATAGAAATAAAATTGTTAGATCCTACTTCAGACTTATAAAAGCAGAAACTCTGGGTAGACCTCAGTAGTCTTTATTTTCATAAACCTAGGTTAATGCTAAAATTTTAAAAGTTCCATTGCCATCAAATCAGAACCGACTCATAGCTAACCCTCTAGCAGATTTTCAGAGGCTGTAAATTGCATGTAAGGAGATTACTCATCTTTCTCCCTCAGAGCAGCTGGTAGGTTCAAACCGCCTTCCTTTGGAGTGGCAGCACAATTCCTTGCCCACTAGGCTACCAGTTTGCAAAGTACTACTGTAATCAGTCTCCCTACTTCCTGCATTTCCTAATCTAATCTTCATTGCATAATGACATACCCTTGCTTTTACTGGTTATACAGATTGATTAAAGAAGAGTATCTCTTTCTCTTGTCCTGTGATTGGATCTCAAGTGGCTGCTTTTATTAGTTCTTGTTGGTCATTTCTGTGCATGCTGTTTGATCTGGCCCCTAGCCCTAAGCAATGTTTAATTTGATTGTAGTGCTATGACGTATCCACATCCATCCAATCTGTTGCACTGAGTACCTTGTGTGTGTGTGTGTGTGTGTGTGTGTGTGTGTGTGTGTGTGTGTGTGTCTGTGGCACAAGCAGTAATTGCTGTGGGCCTTTAGGGAAGGTGGAAAAAGAATTAAAAAAGCTTTTATGGGAAAGGTAAAATTTGAGCCAGACCTTGAAAGACAGATAGGCTTTTCATTGACTGGGATGAGATAGATGGCTTTTAGCAGATGAAATGAAGAATGACAAACATGTATAAAACACACCCTTATTTAAAAAGCATTCAGGGAGTAGTGCAAATAATAACATTTGGCTTAGAGTGGGGTGAATGGATCATGTAGGAACAGCAAGCCCTTCATAGAAAGTTCTGAGTGACAGTGATAATGGAAAAAAATGTCCAAGAAAGGTTTTCACAAGACTTTGCCACTGAATTGGGAACAAAAAAAAAGGAATAATTTTGCTTGACTTAAATAAGGCAAGATGCATTCATTATTTAATTTTTGTTTCTCTGGTAGATAGTTTCAGCTATCTAAGACCTGTCAGGTGGAAATTAGCCTTTGATGGGAAGGAGATGTCTGGGTTAGAGCACTGGTTAGAAATGCAGAGTTTATAGCTGTTCAGAAAGGATTTGGGGTCATAGCAAGAGAAGAGTCTTCTGTGCTGGGCCTGGTTCAAGTTGCAGCCAAGCGTCTTTAATGCCCTTGATCAGTCTCAGATAGGTTTACCTGTTTGACATCATCCATTGTAATGCTTCCCCTTACTACTTAAAATAATTCTGAATTGACTGTATGACTGTGTAACAAAGGCTTTACTATTTCAGTTAAACTGTTTTGTTTGTTTTATACTATGGGAAAAAAAATTACCAGATTGTAAAATAATATTGTCTTTTAGTATCTAGCAGATAGGAGGTTCTGTGTCACACAGCTGTTGGAAGAATTAATAGTGAAGTATCTGCCTGATGAGCTGTCTGAGAGAAAAAAAATATATGATGAAGAAACTGCTGAACTCTCACAGTAAGTTTCTTCTCATAAAAATTAACATCATCAAATTATTAACTACCACCCTTTTAAAAAAGAGGAGAAATCTTGCTAGCTGGCTCCTATCTTTGATTCAGTTCAGTGTAGTCAATGACACCTTTGAAACAAGTGTTGGTCTTTACCTCTGTTATCAGCAGACAGAATTTTTTTCCAAGTTCTTTTGTTGTTATTGTTGTTATGTGCCATCGAGTCAACTATGACTCTTAGTGACCCTATTGTACATGAGCTCTGTACCTTTCCCTAATCTGAGACAATCTCATCATCTCCAACAGACTTAATCCCATTTCTCTAGTCACTGAGTCAATCCTTCTTATCCTGGGTCTTCCTTTCCTGTGCTGTTCCTCCACCCTTCTCCAAGCATGATGTCCCTCTTTAAGGACTGGTCCCTCCTGGCCACATGCCCAAAGTATATGAGATGGAGCCTCAAAATCCTTGCCTCCAGAGGACAGCCCAGTTTTACCCTCTCCAGGATAGACCTCTTTGTTCTCCTGGCAGTCCACAGTATGTTCAACACTCTTCACCAGCACCACAACTCAAAGGCATCAATTCTTCTTCTGTCATCCTTAGTTATTGTCCAGCTCTCAGACGTGTAACAAGTAATTGCAAAGACTATGGCCTGTATCAGGTGCACCTTAGTCTCCAGACTTGCTCTTCAGTACTCTAGAGAGGTCCCTAACAGCAGATTTTCCCAATACAATTCATCTTTTGGTATCCTGACTGCTGGTGCCAAGAGTGTTGATTTTGGAACCAAGCAAGCTGAAGTAATCAACAATCTCAATCTCTTCTCTGTATAATGAAGCTGCGAATTGGCCGAGTGATGAGAAAATTTTCTTGATTTTGAACTTCAATCCATATTGAAGACTACAGTCCTTGACCTTCCACAGCAAATGCCTAATGTCCTCTTCAGTTTCAGCAAGCAGTATTGTGTCATTGGCAAATGTGGGTTGTTGATGAGTCTTCCTCCAATCCTGGTGCCACATGCCTCCTTTATAAAGTACAGCCCCCTAATGATCTGTACCTTTAGTGACATTCAGATGTCTGGTAGAGAATTAATGACTCCACTCCCTGCACTGAAGCAGTATTTTATTGAGCTTGGGGGAGGAATTTCCCACAGCGACATTGGGTAGCCGAGTTGGGAAGAGAGAGGTAAAGTGATATGAGTGCCCCTCACAGATAATGCCAGATCAGGTAGCTGGACCAGGAGGACAATTGAGGAAAAAGGGTTTGCATTACTAGGAAAATGTTAGCTTGAGAGAAAACTGGTGGTGAGACCCTGAGGCTTGAAGCAGAAATTGAAAAGTGTGACTAGAAGTCACATCACCAGTTAATTGACTGATAAAATGTGTTATTAGGGAGGGGAGAGAAACCTGAATCACTGTGAGGTGCCTTTGGGATTTCATGATATATGCCACGTCCCGATGTATGGTTAACTGAGGCTGCAGAGGCTGGGGCTGGTTTTACTTGCTGTGTCTCACTCTCTTGTAATCTTCTCCCTTTATGTCTTTCCATCTTTCATCTATCACTTGGATCTCGCTTAATTTCTTTCACTTTCTTTTAACAGGACACACACACACACACACAGAGCCACACACACATCAGTTGTACACATAGACTTTTCTAGCATTTGCTCATCAAGTGTCTTCTGCAGCCAGAGGCCTTTGGTTGGAGAATTTCCCTCTTTTCCTTTATAGACTTTGATCCTGATTTGTCTTCCTACAGAATTGATTTTTCAGTATGTGATTTTTATATGAAGCACTTGACAGAAAATATTCTAATGTACACATCATGAACCTCTTTGATCAGTGCCAGGCAAAGTTAAGACTTGAAATCTTAAACTCACTCTTGGAACCTGACTGCCCATTGAAGAGTGACCTAAGACAGTGACGCACGGGGCAGCAAAGTGAGAGGAACTGGAAAGGGATTCTTTCTGTTCACTCATTTGTATAGAGTCCAGGAGGAGCTCCTCATTTACAAGGTTTTCTGGTTCATAAATAGGTTGTTTTTATTGTGTATCGTCAAGTTGATTACAGTTCATGGCAAGCCTATAGGACAGAGCAGAACTGTCCCATATGATTTTCTGGGTTGTGTAATTTGTCATGAGAACAAATTACCAGGTCTTTTCTCTTGCAAAGCTGCTAGGTAGTTTCCAGCTATGGAACTTAAGTAGCCACGAGCTTACCCATTGCTCCACACGGGCTCTTTAATTCATAGGTGTGCTGAGGATTTCACTCAGTTATGTTCCTGGCAGTGTGCTCAGTGCTGGCAGAGTACACATTTTAAAAACTAGAAAAACTACACTTGTATTTTTAAACATTGTTTTATTGGGTATTAATTTTACATAAGTAATTTAAGGTCATTTTGAAGATAAACTAGGAAATACAGATTAACAGATGGGCAAAAGCCATAATCCTGTGATGCAGAGGAGTACCCTTTGGATATATTAATATGCATCCTTCCAGCTTTTAATATATATTATAAATATAGTATAAATAAGGTTGGGATTATGTTACTCATTATTCTTAGCCTCTTTTCATATTGCTATTATGTTTCTTCCAAGTTAATATTGGTACACACTATTTTAAAATAGAAACAGAATACTTCATTTTGTGGGATAAAAAATGGACTCTTTTATCAGTCCCTGCTTTTTTATTCTTTGTTTTGACTACTCTTTATAGTGCTATAGTGAACACGCTTATGGTCCTAATATAGAATTGCTTTTAAAAGGGAACCTCTTGGTTCAAAAGCTACAATTAAAAATTATTTTTTTGCTTATTTCTAAATTCTTCTGTAAAAGTTCTGTTTCAAACTGTCCTCTCCTGACCTTTGCCAAAAATAGGATATTACTTTTATTCTCCATTTAACATTTGCCAATCTGGGAATGAAAAAATGTTTGCCACTTTAGTTATCTGAATATGTTACCTTGTTGAATTATCTGTTTTCTTGATAGTGAATTTGGAAATTTTTTTGATGTCTAAGAATTTATAATTTTTTTTAAGTTTTTTTTCCTTATTCTAATCTAAGAGTAAATGAAAGTTTCATAGATAAAAGATCCTTAACCCTATGTGTTGTATGCTACAAATATTTTAAAAGATCACTAATATAAAAAATAATTGTAATCAAATATTTTTTTCCTCACAAGGATATTTAACTCTGAATGAGGTCTCAAAATTTTAGTTCTCATAAATTCAGAGGATCACAAATGAATTTTTGGTGTTACATTGCATCAGCTTGAAGAAAATGGTCTCTTGCCACAAATTAAAATATCACCTTGCTTTGAATGATTTTTTTTAATCTGAATTCACTAGTTATAAGCTTCACTCAATTTTATTAATGTGCTCTGATATATAATAATGAAATGTTTTTCTTCTTTAGTTTGACCAAGAATGTCCCAATATTTGTTTGCACTATGGCCTATCCCACTGTGCCTTGCCCTCTTCATGTTTTTGAGCCAAGATACAGATTGATGATTCGACGAAGTATACAGACTGGAACAAAACAGTTTGGAATGTGTGTCAGTAATGCACAAAATAGGTATGCCTTTTGTTTACATACTTTTTTTTTTTTACTTTATTGGAGCTTTCTTTGATTATGGTTGAGAACTTGCATGAATTTATTTGAATACTAATCAGAGTCTTTCTTTTAGTTTTGCAGATTATGGTTGTATGTTACAAATTCGAAATGTACATTTCTTGCCTGATGGAAGGTCTGTGGTTGACACAGTTGGAGGCAAGCGGTTTAAAGTTCTGAACAGAGGAATGAAAGATGGCTACTGCACTGCAGATATTGAATATCTGGAGGATGTTAAGGTATTCAGAAATGCCCTTTTCCAGGATGCTTTGCTATACTCTGCCCCAGGGATTGGTGCAGGAATACAGGATACTAGTTTTTAAGCATATGAACCTAGTTCTTTCTCTCAAGGACCCTCTGCCACTTAGAAGAATCTTTCCCAAGTTACCTTTTTCTTATCTTGTTCTTAAATCGTTGTATATTTGTGGAGAATTTGGGAAGCCAGAACCTAGATCCTCTTCATTTCTCCATGTGCAACAAGCAGTGCAATGCCTAGAATATTTGTATGCATATGGATGTATAAGACATGCCTAGCAGTAGCAGGTAAAAGTAATTAAATTTATAGCCCAGGTTTGGAAAAGCAGCTAAATAGTAGCAGGTGAAATTAATGGACATGACAGCCCAGGTTTAGAAAGCTGCTAACCTTCACCTAGTTTACTTAATTTATTAGTAGTTAAAGCTAATGCAGTCTGAACTTTGCTCTTAACAAAATACTTTAAGAAGTATTCCATTAAAATGATAAATTAGACAGTTGGATTCTGTATGTATATTCTAGGGCACCATATGTGAAGTACTATGTCACTATACCTACATGTGACATCTTTCCTGGTTAAAATTGTTGAATATCTTTCTTGGATAAGGTTAATGTGACCCTGTTGATGTTACCAATTCTCACTTACCAACTAAATTCTCTGAGTGAGGCAAATAGTTTTCACTCAGTTAGTAACTGGAAGAGGGTTAGTGGTTTGAATCCACCCAGCAACACCATAGCTTAGATTTCTGATTTTTTTAAACATAAATTAAAACTTAAACCGAATCCTTGCGTGGACTAATGTCTGACTCCTGGGACACTATGGGACAGAGTAGAGCTGCACTGAGGGGTTTCTAAGGCTGTCATCTTTATGGAAGTAGATTGCCTCATCGTTTTTCTGTGAAGTGACTTGTGAGTTCAGACTGGAGACCTTTTAGTTAGTGGAAGTACTTGACCAGTGTGCATTACAGCCTTTGGAGCATTTCCTCCCTGTAGGACGCAGGTGATCACTGAGAGTGGAATCTACTCAGTGTTGACAGACAGCAATTTGCCATATGCAGTAAGTTGGGGTACCAGAAAGCTGACTTACTGCCTTACAGCGATACAATAAAATAAGCAAGAGAATCATGGAAACGTGGGTCTTATGCTATCATTTGTTCAATGACTTAATTAGGCTCTCCATTTCAATCATTGCTTTTTAAATGTACACCTGGTACTAAGCACTTTCATAAATATGAACTCTTTGAATCCCTATAGATTTATGAAGTATTAGGTGCCATCAAACCGATTCCAACTCTTTCATAAATATGAACTCTTTGAATCCCTATAGATTTATGAAGTATTAGGTGCCATCAAACCGATTCCAACTCTTAGTGACTCTGAATCATGAATGATTACTGCCTAGTCCCTTGTCACTGCCACAATTTTTGAAGTTCATTCTTTGAACCACTGTGCCAACCCTTCTGGTGGAGATTTCCCTCTTTTTTACTGGCACTCTGCTTTAGCAAGCTTGCTGTCCTTTTTTAGGGACTGGTCCCTTCTTATAGCATGTTTAATGTATGTGAGATGAAGTCCCACCGTCCTTGCTTCTAAGGAACATTTTGGCTGTACTTCAAGAAGTTCTTTGGCAAGCCATGGCATATTGAATATATTTTGCCAACATCATGATGCAGATGGGGCAATTTGACTTTTCTCTTTTTTATTCATTGTATTTCACAAGCATATGAGGGAGTTGAAATTATCAGGGTTAGGTCAGGCATATCTTAGTCCTCAGGTAACATCATTGCTTTATAGGTGTTCTTTCGTGGCATAGTTTGCCCAGTGCAAATATGTCCAGCCTTTTGGCTGCTCCTTCCATGGGCATTGACTGTAGATCTAAGTACAATTTTGGCAACTTCAGTATTTTCTTTGTTATATTATTTGTAGGTTAAATAGTGAAGATTTTTATTGTCTTTATGTTGTGGTATAATCCATTCTGAAAGTTCTAGTCTTGGCTCTTTATCAGTAAGTGCTTTATATCCTCTTCACTTTCAGCAAACAAAGTTATGTCATCTGCATAATGCCAGTTATTAATCTAGTCCTGTTACTGCTTTCTTCATATAGTCCAGTTTTTTTACTTCTTTACTTCATCTACACACTGAATAGTATGGTTGAATGAAACAATCCTGATGCACCTGTTTCCTAATTTTAAATCTTGTAATGTCTTCTTGATTTGTTCCAATCACTTTCTTGGTCTATGTACAATTCTGCATGAGTACAGTTCCTTGTTATGGGATTCCCATTATTCCCAGTATTATCCATGATTTATTATGATTCACATAAATGCCTTTGCACAGTCAATGAATGAAGGAAACATCTTTCTGGTATATTCTCTGCTTTCAACCAAGATCCGTTTGACATAATAATTCTCATTCCTCTCAAGTTAGAAGACTTAAAGCATATAACTGAGGTAGTGTTATCTCCTGAAAAAAAATAATCTTTCTTAATAATAGAGAAAAGATTTCTATGAAATCCATGAGGAAAAGACTTTGGTAATTTTCCTGCTGATCCTGTATGCACAGTGCAGTAGAATTGTAATTTAAAGCCAGCTCTCTTGATGCTTAAGTTCCATTTTTTCTCTTTTTGCCATATTGCTTCTCTGCTGTTAAACTTGGTTGATATGATATTCGTTATCTTTTATGATTATGAAGCTTTTCTAAAGCTTTTTTGTGCAATAGACAAAAATATGTGATTTGAAATTTTTAGTTGATTGTTATAATCTTACTTGGAAAACTTGATAAATAGGATCATTTGCTAAAGGCACAGTTAAACTAATAATCCTTTTCTCTCAAAAACGCAGAGACTTTCAGTTTTGTATAAATTTTCATGCTTATTTTTTATGAAATTTTATATTTTAATTGTGATTTTTAACAAAGGTTACAGAAAAGTTGGATTTTCATTCATTCATTGTTGCACATTTCCCCATCCTTCTCTTCCCACTTCCCCAGTTCACTTAAAAAAAAAATTCATTCATTGTTGCACAATTACCTCACTCATGCCCCTCCCCCCAGTCCTCTTTGTAATGTACCTCTTATTCTAGGCTGTTGTCATATGTATAATGCCTAATCATATATTCATTTTAAACAGTTCTTTCCTTCATCTGTTCCAATGCAGTGTTCATTATCTATCTGCTGTCACCCTATTCTCCCAACTGCCCATGTCAGTCCTGCTTTATAACAGTGATGTTATGCAATATTTGTCATTTTGTGACTGAGATATTTCACTCAGCATAATGTCCTCCAGGGCCACCCATGTTATGTAATGTTTTATGAACTCCTTGTTTTTCATGTTCATATATTTCTTTAATGATAAAATCCCTTGATTATGTGACATATATAAATTAGACATATACGACAATAGAAAATACCATATTGAACAGCATAAGATTCAGAGAGTTTTCTATGTCTAGATGATTTTAGGAATATGCCATAATTTTTTTTTACCTCAATTTCCTAATCTATGTAATGGTTTTCTTGAGTAGTCTGGAAAAGCTTCTTCAATTTTATTTTTCAGAGTCTTCCGCCCACCTCCTCTTATTGTAGTAATTCTGTTTTATATGATTTATACTAAAATTTCAAATTCTGTTGTCATCTTGCTTTTAAAAATATTTATGTCTGCTGCATTGCTTGTTTTTATTACTTCTGTTTTCTAGAGCCTTTTTTCCCTGCATTTTGTGAAATCACAAAGCTGATACTTTTTTAAACTTCATTTTAGTTTTTTTATCTTATCTTGAAAAGCAAAAAGTATGTTCTTTTGTGTTTCATGTGCTATATAGCCTGAACCTTTTATACTTGAAAATGTTTTTGGAGTCCTCTTGTTATTTGGTAGTGCTTTGTTTTTGTTTTTGTTTTCAATTTAGTTATCATTGAAAGGCTGAGTCAGGCTTGGTATTTGTTCAGATAGGTTATGTATATAACACTGAACATTGCCTGGCACCTGGTAAGTTGCAAGAAAAGTATTTGTTGTTGTTTTGTACTGTCAAGTCAGAAGCAAGCCATAGCTGACCCTCTGGTGGGTTTTCAGAGGCAGTTAATCTTACAGAATGAACAACTGGTGACCTCGAACTGTATGCCTTTAGGATTGCAGTGCAGTTTCTTGACACCAGGTCACCACGCGGTATAAATGGGTGCATTAACCTTAATCTGTCCACTTGGATTTTGTGATAAAATTCTTGAGTCTTAAGGTGGAAAGCTGATGTATTTAGTTTGCATTTGCAGTTTGGCAAGCCAGTAATCTGAAGGCATGTGGAAGTAGCCACAGCCTTGAGTCTCAGCAGCAGCTTAAGCTGCTTTACATATTGTGTTCATATATTGATATATAAAACAAGTTATTTATACAAATCGGTCTGTCTTGGAGACGGTGAAACCAAGTTTCTCCTTGGAGGCTAGGATTTTGAAGCTCTGTCTCCCATACTTTGCGCATGTGCTTGGAGGACATCATGCTTGGAAGGGTGGAGGGATAGCACAGGATAAGAAGACCCCAGATGAGATGGATTGATACAGTAACTAGGGTTGGTGTGTCGGAGTCAGTAAGACTGGCTCAAGACAAGGCAGGTTTCAGAACTATTGTGCATAGGGTCACTATGAGTTGCAGGCAACTCAACAACACATAACAACAATGTTGTTGTTGATTGCCGTTGAGTTGAGCACGACTCATAGCAACCCTATGAACAAAAGGCCTGAAGCCTTTCTATAACTATTTTAATTTATCAAAGTTCATGGAGTTTCCAGAGGTATGTTGTTTAATTTTCGTGCCTGGCTTTAATTTTGTCAGATTTTTAGTGTTATCTGTACTCATCTCCCCCATCTTTCCTTTTATTTTAGGAGCTGTAGTCTTTTAAACCATTGTTCTTGAAAGTCATTGATCATAAAGGCAAGAAGATTCCCAACTTTGTGTAGATATTTATTCCCAGTAGGTACTACTTGTAGGATTTTACAGAATTATACTGAATTCAAGATGAGGTAGAAGTTAAGCCTTGGTGTCACTTTTTAGCTTGGTTTCATTAAAAAACCAAAACAGCTTCTTAATTGAGTCAGAGCAGATTCATAACTAACCTTCCAATAGATTTTTTTTTAGGCTATAAATTACACAGGAGAAGATTGCTCTTCTTTCTCCCTTAGAGCTGTCTTTAAGATAGAAATGCATCTTCTACAAACTACCTCACCAGAACTCCCTCCTGGCCTCATTTGAACTATATAAAACAGAAATCGATGCTTTGTATAGTATAAGAATGATACTAAAACTATAGCTTTAAAGTAGATGTTACTCTCTTTTTTCTGATCCTTTTCTTTTTTGTCTTCTCATTTATTGTGGGCACAAAGACAACAGAAGTCTTCTTTATTGTTATATTTCCAGGTTGAGAATGAAGATGAAATAAAGGACCTCAGAGAACTTCACAACTTGGTATACTCTCAAGCGTGCAGCTGGTTCCAGAATTTAAGAGATAGATTTCGAAGTCAAATTCTTCAGCACTTTGGATCAATGCCTGAGAGAGAGGAAAATCTTCAGGTATAGTGGCTTTGCCATTGCTTCCAAAGTCTTAGGCATTCATTTTATAAATCCATACTAGTACATTTTTCTCTTTCCCCCCCCCTTCTGTGCTTTTTAAAAAAAAACTGTGTTTTCTATGAACCCCGCTAGGAGCATGACTAGGTTTTCTAGAGCATTGGTGCCCAGGACAGTTTAGGAGGGAAGAGATGGAATAGATCTCCTCTGAGATGTCTATAGGAGTAAGTACCAGTGAAGACCCTTAACTAAGAATTTTTTGGAAGGAGAGATTAAGCATGAAGTACAGACCTAATATAGTCAATTTTTCCCATGAGACGAGTGTGCCCTAAAACAGTTACCTGTTGCTATTATTCTTTGACAGTCATTAAGAGAGGGAGAAAAACATTTTCTGTATTTCAGGGGAAAAAATTCTCTTTTTTAATCTGTGACTTTTTGCTCATTTTAAATTATTCGTGTTCTTTTCATGTCTAGTGTTTCACATGACTAAACTCCTATAGCCTTGCTGATGTATATATTGGTTTATACTTAAGCTCAGTCTGTGAAATTACCTATCAGATCCTTTCTGCATAAGTAGTTGACACTGTGGGAGACATAAAAGAAGAAGCTCTGCTTTGGAAAATCTGATGAGAGACTTATCAAGCACTGACTTTTAGGCCATAAATATTTTTAGTGAAATTACAGAGTTGTGGTCAGAAGATGAGATAGTTCCTAAAGGAGTGACTGTAAGTAGTAGGTAGATGGAAATAGATGCATAGTAAGTCCATCTGGGTGCAGACTGCCTCTCCTTCAGTCCTCAAAAGTTGGTTAGGTCTGAATTACATTTGAACTTGAAATTTCAACATCAGCATGTCCAGTTTGAACATTTATTCTGTGTGCTCAGCCTGTTATCAGTTGTCACAAGTTTGTTTTTTCTTGGCTACCTGAATCTGATTGACCCTACAGAAATTACTTTCGGTAAGCACAAACTTGAATAAGTAGAGTACAAATGTTTCCCAACCAGCTTATAAAAAATGTAATTTGTTTACTATCTGTGCTACTTACTGTTTTTTGGGGGGGGTGGTGGTTATTAACCAATTTGCCATTCCTACTTTCAGTTGGTAGCATTCTGTCAATTGGAATGTGCTGAACAACAGACAAAAACATCCTCTTTAGGTAGTCCAGGGGTGAAAGGTTTATTATAGGACTTACTTGATACAAGCAGCGCAAGTATAAGAATTGTGAAGGTCAAGTACGTTGCCAGTAAAGGTCAGGGAATCTGCTATTGACTCAGATGTTGACTAGAAGTAGTAGGTCACATTGTTGTCAAATGCTGTGGAGTGGACTACTTAGTCCTCACCAGCTCTATGAGCAATGGCACTGAACCTTCTTGACCTGTCTTGAACCAACATTACCATCTCCGAAACACCTAATCCCATTGCCACTGCCACTATGTCAGTCCATCTCATCGAAAGCCTTCCTCTGTTCTGCTGACTCTTTACCCTTCCATCTCTGATGTCCAAGGCCTGTCTTCTCCTGAGAACATGCTCAAAGTATGTGAGACTCAATTTCACCATCCTTGTTTAACATGGTACACCTTGGTTTCACTTTCTCCAGGACAGACCTGCTTGTTCTCCTGGCAATCCATGGTATATTAAATACTCTGCTCCGGCACCAGAACTCAAAGACATAATTCTTTTTTCATCCTTTTCCCTGTGACTATCCAGCCTTTAGATGCATAGCAAGTGAGTAAGAAGAACCATGGCTTGGATCTAAGCACACCTTAGTATTAGCTTTGACTGTTTCTGTTGCTCTTTAGCACTGTAGAGAGATCTTTGACAACAGATTTTCCCAGTGCAATTTGACTTTTAATTTACTGAATGCAGGCACCAGGGTGTTGATTGTGAATCCAAGCAGGGCGATATTGTTAACACCATCAGTTTTTTCTTCATGTACTATAAGCCTGACTATTGGTCCAGTGGTGAGCGTTTTTGTTTTCTTGATGTTGAAATGCAGTTCATACAGAAGATTGTAGTCCTTGACCTTCTGCAGCAAACACTTCAAGTTCTCCTCACTTTCATTGGGCCAAGGTTGTGTTATCTGCATAATGCAGGTTGTTGATTGATTAGCTTTCCTCCAATCCTGATGCACAGGATTCTTCTTCATAAAGTCCAGTTTCTCAAATGATTTGTTCAACATATAGATTGGAGAAAGGATACATCTTTGACACACTCCTTTCCTGACTTCAACTATGCAGTTTTCCCTTGTACTCTTTGGACAATAGCATCTTGTGACTGGAATGAAAAAGTTAGGAACAAGGAAGAAGGACCAGTAGGAGAAAATTAGGGACTTGATGACAGAAAGAGATAGAGTGATATAATTTTGTGCATTCAATTATTTACACATTACAATTATGTTTTATAAAAAACACATTGTTGATTATACATATGGACCTCACCTGACAGATTGCACAGGAATCAAATTGATTACGTCTGTGGAAAGAATCATTGGAGAAACTCTATCAGCTCTGACTGTAGAGCAGACCGTCAGCTACTCATGTGCAAGTTCAAATTGAGGCTAAAGAAAATGAAAACAAAACACAAGAATTAAAGTGACTTTAAGTCTATCCCACCTGTATTTTTTTTTAAATATCTCAAAAATAGCTTTGAGGCATTGAACACTAATGAACAAGGCCAAATAAACTGTGTAAGAATCACAGATACTGTTCATAAGGAAAGCAAAAGGAATAAGATCAAAATGGGTGTCAGAAGAGACTTCAAATACTGTTTTTAAATCCAAGAAATCAAGAGGGATGGAATGACAAAGCTAAAGAGTTGAACAGACTATTTCAGAGGGTAACTTGTGAAGACAAAGCAAAATATTGGAACAAAATGTACAAAGAGCTTGAGTCTGAAAATCAGAAGGGAAGAACTTGCTTGACATTTCTCAAGCTGAAGAACAACAAATTCAAGCTTTAAGAGGTTATAGGCAAAATCTTGAGTGATCCAGGAAGCATCAAAAGAAGATTGAAGGAATATACGGACTCCAAAAAGAATTGGCTGACACTGAAACATTTCAGGAAGTAGCATATGATCAAGAACTAATGGTAATAAAGGAAGAAGTTCAAGGTGCTCTGAAGGCATTGACAACAAAGCAAGCCTTGGGAATTGATGAAATACATCTTTCTATAAACAGTTGCTAAGAAGTCTGGGGGGCAGCTACATGACCAACTGAATAGAAGAAATCCGTATTTATTCCCATTCCCAAAAAATTGTGATCCAACAGATTGTGAAAATTATTGAACAAAGTAATTAATAGCACATTTCTAGCCTAGTGGAAAGAAATCGCACTGCAATCCTGAAGGCACATGGTTTGAGGCTACAAGCTGCTCCACAGGAGACGGATGGGAAATCATCTGTGCGATTAACTGCCTCTGAAAACCTGTCAGTCAACTGTGGGTCAGTTCCGACTCTACGGTACACCACAACAGCAAGCAATGTCTTGCTGAAGAGTATCCAAAAATCACTAGAACTACAGAAATATAAGCCAGATTTAGAAGAGGCCATGACACTACCAGTATTATTGCTGATGTCAGATGGATCCTGGTTGAAAGCAGAGTACAAGATGTATGGCTGTTGTATGTTATTGACTATGAAAAGGCATTTGACTATATGGATAAGAACAAATTATCACTGATACTGAGAAGAATGGGTGGGAACTCCTGAACTCTTGATTGTGCTCATATATAACCTAGACCAAGAAGTACATCATGTAGTTTTCAAGAACTTGTATGGGAACTGCTATAATTGTTAGGAATCACTATAAAGCCTCCACCAGTATCCCATGCTGCAACAGTGGAGAAAGCTGTCTACAAAGGGCTTGTGAATCTGCCCACACTTCTCTCTACAATAGTCTCCAGACAGTCACAGCCCCTTCCTGTCAAACTTCTAAATATCCAAGGAATGCCTCTTCGTTGGCAAAGTTGGTGGTTAAAATGCACCCAGAGGTACCCTTGAAAAAAGTCACTGCCTTTAGGAGTGCAGTTCTACACTGTCACCCTCGGGGTAGCTGTGAGTCAGAGTCAAGTCAATAGCAACTGGAAAAGCCTGGAACTAAGGATGGGAAAAGGGATTCTGGGAAATAGTTTCTGGCTTCTCCATTGTGCAGAAAATGATGACCATGAGACTGAACTGAGAAGAGACAATGTACAAATATAGAAATCTCGTTTTATTCTGAAAGATGTTACTGAGATCAACACTGATGTTGTAACTCCTTATGTCATTAAGAAATTTGGTAATAAAATCTGCTGAAAAGTAATTAAACCAATGATAAAGATTGCATACAGATTATTTTCTTTGAATTCCTAGTCCTTTCAGTAGCCAGTGGTCTAACTATATCTCCATCCCCCCTTGTACCATCAGAGGGACCTTTTGTTTATGTGTGCTCAATGTTTCCAACAAAAGTGAAGGCTGAAACACTTTTATCCTAGGATTCCAAAGTTCTCTGAAGATATGTAAAGGTCATTTAGCTTTACTGAATGCCTTAGTCTATAAAAACTTCTTGACTAGGTTATTGACTGGGGGACAATTCTTTCCTTAATCATACATTTGGCAATACAATGTGGAGGCCATTATATTGGGTAGTGTTACAGAACAGCTCAAATAGTAGTGCAGAGGATGGTAAACACTATTTTAAAGCATTGGTACAGTAGAAAGTGTTGTTGTTGGATTTTAATTATATGAGCTGAGATATCCTGAACAATTCATGTTGCATTTCTGAATTTCATTTCCCTTATATGGGCATAATAATAACCTGCTTTACGTGACTGTTAATAGAATTGAGTTAGAAAATGGCACGCAGTTATGTGCGAAAGTAATAGCTTTTATGCGATTTAAAACTGTTGCATAAATGTTTTATTAATACTGTTCACTGTTGATTGTTTTCAGGCAACCCCCAATGGACCTGCATGGTGTTGGTGGCTGCTTGCGGTTCTTCCTGTAGATCCCCGATATCAGCTGTCAGTTTTGTCAATGAAGTCTTTGAAAGAACGGTTGACAAAGATACAGCATATTCTTACCTATTTTTCTAGAGACCAATCTAAGTAACCAACTGCTTGGATCTTCCTTTAAACAGATACCCTAATCTGGCCGCATTGACAGCCAGATTGTTCGCTGCCTTTGCACATCTAGTGCTGGTTTGAGAAATGTAATGAAACTGTTGTTTTTGTTTTGTTTTCTCTTCAACCTCCTGAATCATGTGGTTCTTCAAATGAATACCTTCAACTAGGATTTAGACCACTAAGAACTTGCACAGAAAACGCACACAGAATGTGTGTTAAACCTCTACATTGTGATAAAGTTGCACTATGTACCATATTCTAAACTGAAATGAGAACTCTATGTGTGTGTATGGGTTGTGTATGTGTCTATGTGTGTGCTTGTGTGTGTTCTGAGTGTGTGTATGTATGCGAGTGCGCATGGGTAATATGTGTGCATTTTCTCTGGCTTTAAAATTTTAAAAGAAAAACAAAAAAGCCATAGAGAGCAGAACTTGCTGAGGGTTATTTGTTGCCCAAGTTTACAACAATAGCGATACAAGTTTTTGCAAATTGAATTTGCCTCTGAGTTCTGTCCTAACGCTTCTATTTGCACAAGTATGTGAAGTATGGTATTGAGTATCACTCTTTGTTGGAAATACTGCTCTTGCTGGACTGTCTTGACCATTGACTATGACACAGTTTCTTATTTATGTAAATACTCACATCACAGTGCCTGACAGGCATTGGATGTAGAACCCAGAGCCAGTTTTCAGGAACAATTACAAACCTGACATGGTACTGTGCATCTACTCATAAAACACTTAAAACTGTGAAAATATGGTTTACATTTAACTGTACATAAAGGCAAATGGAGAACTCAATTCAGTACCGGTTAGTTTGTACATTTTAGGGGCTTTGACATTAACTGCCCATCTATGTAATTTATAGTTTGACAGACTGTGTTTGTTTGTAAAAAAGAAATTACATAGTATAAACCCATTGAGGGACTTGGAGAAGAAAAGAAGCTTAAAGTAGAAGTAAGCTTTTAAAGTTTGTTTTGGTTTGTTTGTTGTTTTTTTGGATTTTTTTTTAAATTCTGGTCTTGGTGCAAATGTTAGTTATGCCTTATTCATATCACGATTAGATCGCCATGCTGTGGCATGGTTTATATTCATGCTGCCCTAGATACTTTTGTAATTATTTGTTGCAAAGTTGTGACTGTCTCTACTAGCTTTCTTTTATGTAAGTCATTTGTAAAAGTTTCTTACAAATTTTGCTTTTGCTTATTTAATTTTGAATAAAAGCTAAATTCATAATAACTTTATTTCTTAATTTTAGGTCTATGTAAAAAAGAAAATCATTGAAGGGACCAGATCCCATTTATTAAAGTATGCACAAGTTTTACTTCCTGTTGTTCTATGATGAGATATGAGCAAAGAATTTTCAAAAGTCTTTTGCCCCCTGCAATTGTTTTGAACAAAGGTTGCATTGTCTCCCAGAGGCCTATGCCCTAAAGCCTCCTATAAAGCACTATTTTTCAGTTTTTTTACAAACCCTTTTTCCTTTAGTAAGGTCCTCCTCCTGGTAACACAGGGTAAACCTTCTTTTAATGGCTATGATTTTCCACATATAAAAATACAGAATTTTAAGAAAAATTGAGTAATTACCCCCTCAAAGACCTCTCCTCTCCCTGCCATTATGTTAGTGGAGAATCTGTTCAGTAGTCCTGCAGAAAACCTTACCTAAAAAAGACGACCACTCCTCAAAAACATCTTACTCATAGTTACAAAAGTGTAAGCCTTTTTTTATAAGAAAAAATGTACTATAAAATGCTTATTAAAGTGTCTCATGGTATAAATTGTGGCTAACCTTGAGGAAAATGGGAATCTCAGAACACTTGATGATGCTTATAAGAAACCTATACTTGGATCAAGAAGCAGTCCTCCGAACAGAGCAAGGCAACACTGCATGGTGTAGTCTTTGAGCCTCTCTAGCAAGCATTTCAAGTCCTCACTTTCAGCAAGCAAGATTGTGTCATCTGCCTAACACAGATTGTTGATGAGTCTTCCTCTGATTCTGACGCCACATTCTTCTTCATGTAGTCCAGTTTCTTAAATGATTTGTTTTCTCTAGTGAGAAAAGGGGTCCATAGGCCACACCCTAGGAAAATTTCCCATACATGCATTTAGGCTATCATGAGAACAAGGGATTTTCTATTACACTCTTAATTCTTTTATAATTTATTGTTTTATAATGTTTTACTATATAATTTCTAGATTATATCATGACACACATATGGTTTGAGTGAACCAGATTCAGCCTATAACAAAGTCCATCGTTAAAGCCACTGTGTTAATCCAGCTTCCTCTTTTTCACAGACTCTTTATTGAACATGGCTCCTCTTACTAAAATTTCCAAAGTACATGAGAAGAAATCTTGCTATCTTCCCTTCTAAGGAGCATTGTTCCAATACAGATTTGTTTATTCTTCTAGTGGTCCATCATCTCTCATAGATATTTAATCAGAATTAACTCTTCACAGACTCTCCAGAAGTTTTTCAGGTGATTGTAAATCTGACTAGAGAAAATTGCCTGTCTTCCTCTTGTAGCATTGCTTAAACCCAACAACTATAGGGTGGTCAAAATGGCAATGACACAGGAAAACCCCAAACTACAAAAGAGAAAAATGTGTAGAAGTAATTTAGGTGAGAGATACAATTGCAATAGCTATATAATGAACCCTTTTCCTGACTTGGATTAGGTAATAGGCAGCAACGGCAACTGTATTCAAGCCTAAGCACTGAATGTAGATGTTGAACCAGAGAAGATCCCTAAAACCATAACTAGCTGTAGGTCTCTGATGGGATAGAGAGCCCATATGCATAAACAGCAAGCTAGGAGCCTATCTTGTATAACTGTGTGTTCTATTATCCCCCTCATAGCACAGACCACATTCCTTTGAAGGAACCAACAACTACAGACAGAAGAAAATGGATTTCCAAACAGCAATGATGCAGACAATCCAAATACAGAAATTTGAGGAAAATAAACAGTGTAAAAGAAATGACTCATCCTTAGATTTGAAGATGGTGTTCCAAAAAAGTTCTAAGTATATATGAAATATTACTCAGACACTCTCTGGCACCATAAAGACATTCAATAAAAGTGTTGAGTCAGAGATGAGTCATGGAAATAAACTCAGGGGAAGAGCTGGATAGAATGAATGCAGATGACAAATGCACTAAGTTAGAGGCACTTAGCAGAATATAGCGTAGAAATAAGAGGGTAAAAGTATGGGAGAAAAATCAAGATTGCCATGCTGTGACATGGTTTATATTAAAAAGTTTATCATCCACGCAGGGGAATTTTGTAAGGGAGAGAACTCATTGAACCCACTCATAGGACTCTAAATTGCATGGGAGGAGATTGCCCATCTTTCTCCTGAGGAGCAGCAGGTAGATTCAAGCTGCCTGCCTTTGGCTTGGCAGCAAAACTTATCCACTTGGCCACCAGAGCTCTCTTAAAAGAAGAGTAGACAAGAAGAAATCAATACAAACATTTCCCCACTGAAGATCACAGGGAACAATACTTTCTGAGGAACAGAATCCATCCAGTTCATGGGAAAAGAAAAAGGCACAGGTTCACCTAGGTGATCTGAAGGGTGAAATAGTGATTTCTCTGTTGTATAATATTGATAATCATTGATTTGAAGGCATTTTCCTCCTTAATCAATGTTTAAACACCAACATTTAACACATGTTGCCACATTTGTAAAGTAAGACATTTGAGATCTGGTTCAATTGCAAACTCTTTCTGTTGCCCTGTCCAGTCTATCAATTCTGACTGTTCAGTGAAATTAAATCCTTAAAAGATTTTCTTGTCATAGTTTCAGATATTAAAAAGGTTAAGTGTCGTTTCAAAATAATATTTCATTTCAACATGTAGCAAGTAATGCTTTTAATCCTCAGAAGCAGCTTGTGAAGTCTTTTTGTAGAGATGAGGGAACTGAAACAATTACTAAGTGTAGTAATTTGTCAGTGGATCATATTGTAACTATGTGGTGGAACTGGCTCACGGCCTAGGCAGTCTGGCTCCAGCTTCTCGCCCTGTCCAGTTATAAAACATGCAAGTAGGGCAGATGGATAAAGGATTTGGAAACAAGTGACTTGACTCCCTGATAAAACAGCCTTTCCATATGGTGGGCCCAGTTTATGGCAATTTGATTAGGACATTGTTTTCAAGTGCATTGCCAAGGCTTGAGAAGGTTAAATCAGTTACCAACTCTGATCAGATACCAATCGTGAAAATTATTAACAAACTTTTCAGAAAGTACAGAAGCATTGAAATGTTTGTACACTTTAGCCCAGTCTCTTAAATTCACATGTATTTCTCTCTCTAATACTCCCTGATGATGATGTGTGTACCATCGAGTTGCAACAAGCCCCTTGCAGACACACCTGCATGCTTTCAGAGGCAGTAAATCACACAGAAGGAGATTTTCCAACTTTATCCTATGGAGCAGCTGGTGGATTCCAACTGCATAGCTTTGGATTGTCAGCATTCCTTGTCACTAAGTTACCACAGCTTCCATAATGTTCCCTAAAACAACAAAATCTTGGGAAAATATATATAAAAATATTCATTTGAGTGTTCTGTAGTTGTCACCATTATCAGGCACTGGCTATTTCTAAACTAGATATTTCTGGCTTTTAATAGAAAACTAATAATGTGACCCAACAAACACAAAATTTTATATATATAACAACTATGTACTTGTTAAGTAACTTCGAGTCACTTGTGACTCACAGCGACCCCATGTACAACAGCTCTGAACCCTGCTCTATCCTGAGCCAGCCTCATCTCCTCCAACTCACACTCCCATTACTCCAGTCACTGAGTTAATCCATCTCATCGAGAGTCTTCCTCACTTGCGCTCTCTCTCCACCGTCCCAAGCATGACGTCCCTCTCCAAGGACTGGTCCCTCTGCAACATGCTCAAAGTATGTCAGACCAAGCTTCAGAATTCTTGCCTCCAAGGAGCAGACTGGTTTCACCCTTTCGAGGATGAAACTATTTGTTCTAGCTGTCCATGGTATATTCAGTACTCTTCTCCGGCACCACAGCTCAAAGGCGTCAATTCTGAGTCTATCATCCCTAGTCATTGTCCAGCTTTCTGATGCATAGCAAGTAATTGATAAGACCATGGCCTGGATCAGATTCACCTTGGTCTACAGACTGACATCATTGCTCTTCAGTACTCTAGAGAGGCTCTGGCAGCAGACGCTCCCAGTGTAATTTGTCTTTTAATTTCCTGTCTGCTGGTACCAACACTGTTGACTCTGGATACAAGCAAACTGAAGCTGTTAAAATCTCAGCCACTCACCATCTATCTTGGTACTTCCAATTGGACCAGTATTTTCTTGATGTTGAACTTCAAGCTTCAAGCTGCCCTTGACCTGAAGAAAATGCTTCAGGTTCTCAATTTCGGCAAGCAAAGTTGTGCCATCTGCGTAATGTAGATGAGTCTTCCTCCAATCCTGATGCCACTTTTTTCCTCATAGAGCCTAGCCTCCTGGACAATCTGTTCTGCATATAGCTTGAAAAGATAGGGAGATAGGACACATCCCTAGTATACACCCTTCCCTATTTTGAACCATGCAGTGTTTCCTTGATCTGTTCTCTCGACAGCCTTTAGGGAGTTCTGGTGGCCTGTAATATTGAAAGCACATGGTTTGAATCTACCAGCTGCTCTGGGGAAGAAGGATGGTCAATCTCTTCCCATGTGATTATCTGCCTTTGAAAACCCACTGGAGGATCAGCTGGAGGTTCTGACTTGATGGTACATAACAAAAACAACACTCTCTTGCTTTAGGATCCCTACACATCTTTACCATAATAAAAACAGGCCATCTAGACCTAATAGGCTCAGTCACATAGCCCTTGGGTTTGAACATCTGATATTGTCACCATATTCTAAATCATCATATAGATTATGGTTCTGTTGATTAACAGTTATGTTTTACACATGTTGTTACTATTGTGTGCCACTGAATCATCTGGGACTCACAGCGACCATATGTACAACAGCTCTGAAGTCTGCCCTTTGTCTGACTCTGACACACCTACCCCATGTCCCTAGTTACTGTATCAATCCATCTTGTCTGGGGTCTTTCTCTCCTGCACTGTCCCTCCACCCTTCTAAGCATGATGTCCTTCTCAAAGGATCAGTCCCTCCTGGCCAACTACCCAAAATATGTGACACTGAGCTTCAAAATCATAGCCTCCAAAGAGACACTTGGTTTCACCCTCTCCAAGACGGA